GAATATTTCATGTCGTTATTCATCTATATTCGAACTCCTGAACCATGGAACATTTTTATATCCTACACAACTGTGTTATCAGGGTATTATAGCTATGTTTGCCACCAACAGTTTGTAACGCGAAATATTGGTCCTAGACCCAACTTTTAGTATACCAATCGTTATATCTAGGCAAGCTGAGTCGATCAAGCCATGTGTGATCGTCCATCTGCCCATTATACGATACTGGCTACAGTTGTGGATTTATCTTCACGAAATTTTGCATGCAAATTCGTTTTGGACCAACGATTTTTGTCTGTTTTTGTCTGACCGCTCTAGAGACCACGATTATGACCCGAACATCAGAAAATTTTACACAGAGAAAGGGATCTGACCAAGAAACGATCATGACTCTTTCCATGATGATCAGTTCAAATGGACCCTGACTTTTGCATCAGGATTGACAAAATTTGATGACCTTTAAATTGAAACCAATTATAGTGATGTATATACTCGGATATGGGAGTTCAACTTAAATAACTTCAGAAACATAGCGCTGATCGCTATGGAATTTCAGATGAAGTTCAGATCATATGATATATATGAAATGAAATGGACCGAAACAATTATTTCTGTCAGGTTTACTAGTCTATCTAGAAGACATAATTAAAAGCGAACATCACAAATTTAACACGGGGAAGGGAATCTGGTCTACTATTAAGAATGGCTGTTTCGATCGATCAATATTTAGGAGGTCAAATGAGCGAATTTTTTCAGGCTCGGAATATAGATCTTTCAGTCATATTGAATCGAAGCTGGGGTGCAAGCATGAAAATTATCTTTCAAATGGTCCTAAAAGAAAAAGTCTCAAGATGTAAAATCACAAAGAGGGCCATAAACCGCGCCACACATTGAGAATGAAGAGGATTCTCAACAATAACCATTGGGTTTCTGAGTTATTGAATTGGAGGCTTCACTTATATTTTTAATTAGAACTCCGGTGCATTGTCCTGCATTCAGTGACGCCCAAAATAACGCCATTTAAATTATCGGACAAAAGACTCAAAACATTTCTATTTGTATATGTTAATATATTGACCCATAGTTTTATCACAAAGAGTATAAAAATATCCCTTCGATTTTTCTTCAAATAGAAATTGGTTCAATATTTAAATATCTTCCGAAATGTCTCATAACAATTTTCAAAAATGTTATTTCTACTTACAAATATTGTAAGTATGGGCGTATATGTGTGCTTTTGTGTTTGTTCCTATCTCCCAAAAATCACCGAGAGGCGCGAGAAAGAGAATGAGAAAGGGTTACACAGTATTCGGTTACTAAACACAATTACTTTTGTCTGTCCGTCCGTATCCCTGTCATTACTTTTGTTTTAGTTGACATTTGTGTTTTTGTCTGTTCCAATTTTTTCCATTGACCCACTTTCGGAGTTGTTCTAGAATTTCGAAAAAAATTGTGTTCACTTGTTTCTGTTTTGTTTGCATTCAATACAAGGCGGCTAGTTGATGTAGTTGTTTTTGTATTATCCACTTTATCCATTGAGCAGGAATAGTAGATAACAGATAGCTCTTGTGTGTGTATGTGTTTGAGTGGGACGGGGAAGAGGAGGTGGTAGTGTGGGGGTGGTAATATGGGATGGGGGCAATGTATAGTAATTTGTGTTGTTGTATTTTTTTTCGTTGCTTGTCATTTAAAGTATCTTCGGTGGAAGTGGTTGCTGTTGCAGGCCATTTTTGGATTTTTTAATTAAGTTCGGTTGAAATTATGTTGCACACTAACTAAACTACTGACTAACCGAGGTATTTTTTGTTTTTGGTTGTTGTTTGTTCGGAGGCAGTTCTCTAATTCTGAAATGCCATTCCACAGTTGATTACAAATTTTAAAACTTTCATTGAAATGGGTGCTAAAGGTGGAATGAGTAATATGTCATAGTTTTTAAAAAGTGTTTTCAATGAAATTAAAAGTTTTAGTTTGGGAAAAAATAAAACTGTGAATTTAGTTCATGTTAATTAGGGATAGATGTAGGTGCAAAGTTAAAGAGGTTATTATATTATTTCCTATGATAATAAAGGTTGCGTCTGCGTTCTAACAACAATTATACGTACTATGATCCATACACTATAAAACAATGAAATTGGTAGGTTAATATAAGATCAAATCATGTAATGTCGTGGTATTAGTTGGTATATCTCTATTTAAGCAGATTTTTTAAGAAAACCGCCCGTAAATTACATTATGATACCTCGCCCAAAAACCATAATACATACAAACTAATTATATGCAACCAAAATTCCCCTTAATCGAATTCCATTAAAACATAAGAAACGACTCCAAATTGTTTGAAAAGGTTTTGTTTAAAAAAATTGGGACCTAGCTATAAGACTGAAGTTATATAAAAAATCCGATTATTTATCTGCAAAAATTGAGTTGCTCTTTAGATACCAAAATAACAACCCTTATAACTACATTCACCCGAAATCGTGCCATTATCCCCTTAATCGACTTCTAAAGAATCGGACATAATGAAAATAAAAAAGGTAATTCCATTATTTTAACATCAACATTGATGGCAAGACAACAAATGCCTTAAGCGATTCCAAGCATGTCAATGCCAATGAATATTTGATGAGGTCCTCTCTGTATTTTTCGTTGTTGCTGTTGCCATGTTTGTGTCATGGCATCATCATCATCGCCATCACAAGTAGTAATGTCATCTTATATTTTAATTACCTGTCACAAAGTGAGGCACGATCAAAGGTATCAAATGTGTATTATCAACGACATGTCACAAATTAATGCAATTGTTTTTAATCAGCTAAACAATCAAATGGCTGGGTGGCTGACTGACTGGCAGTCTGACGCACAAGCAGTCAGCCAGTCAATAGAGTCATCTGAGGATTGCCATGTAATTTGTTAATTTTTTTCTTGTAAATTTAATATCGATGTGTGCATACTTATGAGTGTTTGCGAGGGGGTGTGTGTACTAATAATGAATGATGACTTTTCGCACAAGTTGCCAATAATACATACCTCCCTCATCCACCTCCTCCGGTAATTGTGTAATTCATACATACATAATTTGTCAAAAATTTCATGAGTAAATTATTTCCCCCGTGACAGTAACATCGCTACAGCCCTTCTCAATTTGTATCGCTTGAATAAATTTTCCTGAAATCAAATCGTCAAATTTGATAAAGATATGTTGGGTGTCTGTCTGGCTGGCTGACTGTCACAGTGTTGATGTCAGGCATTAAATCTGTAAACGTGTCAGACAATTCCAATGAAATTAGATACGTCTATTGTAATTGAAGACAATTACATTGATGTGTGTGTATCTAAAGCATAATGAGCACCTAAAAGTAGGCATCATGCTTTGTAAATATTTTCACGGATTTAATGCAAACTTTTAGGCGCTCATTAAGCAGGAGATTATGTCTGTAGTAGCTGTGACAGATTAAAAAAAATTATATGAGATTTTCACGTATAATATGATAAGATTTATTAGAGGAAATAATTTTTGGGTACTTTATGAGTGCCCAAGCCTGTCAACAATAACGAATCGACTTATATTCTAATAACAAAATTCTTCTATGTGACCTATAAAGATTCGGCTGGTTGGCATCCTCTTAAGATTTCTCTTCCTTATAAATTTTGGTGCAGATTTTTTCCCAGAATTTTGTATGAAAAATTTAAATTATTTTTGTTTCAAGGAGTTCGTACATAAACATCGTATGCGAACTTTAGCATGTCTACAAAATTGTCCCTTTGTTCCTCTATAAAAACTCCGAGACTTTCTTTTATAAAAACTCATCTTCATGTAGCCTTCTGTAAAAACTCCGAGTGCCCCTCTTTCAGAACTTTAGATCATCTACGACTACTCATTACTTTAGAACGTCTAAAAATACTATTTCAGCTCGTCTAGTTGTAACCTATTAAGACTCACAGCACTATTTTCTTTTAAGTTTTTACATGATGAATAAGGGTTACGTATACGTTCGGACAACGATCATACGCACTAGAGTCCAAACACAATTAAAATACGGACAGACCATGCCATTTTAAATACAAATGTATATCTTCTCGTGGCATTTGTAGGAATATCTATATTAAAGAAGATTTTTTAAAGAAAGACATCGGTAAATTAGATCAGGATACCTTGCTAAATAGTAATATTTAAGTTAATTCTCTGCAACAAAAATCCCCCTTAATCGAACCTCGTTAAAACTTATCAAGTGACTGAACCTCCATTAATGAAGATTTTTGAGAAGCGAACAAAAAATGTCTGAATCACTTCCATATCAAAACCACATCCCAATTTTACAAATTATTTCGCTGTCTGAAAACTTTGTATATTTTCCGAAAATCAATTTTCCATTTAACCTACATAATGGAAGGCACTCAGTAGGCAGGCAGGTCATTGAACAACAAAATTCAAAAAACAGAAAAAAACTTAGAGCAATTTGCTGAACTCAGATGTTTGAATGAATTCTTTTTTTGGTGGAAATTATAGAAACAAAATTCAATCTACTGATTGCCTTAAAACAACAACTACAAAAACAATGAAACAACGGTGGTACTTCAACAAATGACCACTTTCACATTGATGTAATTCTCCTACTCCTCTCTCTCTCCTAACATCACCTCAGCTGATGGCAATTACAAAACTGGTCAATATGTTCTTGTTTCCGTTCTATATGGAGGGTGACTAGAATTTCAATTGGTACTGAAATCGATGGGTTTCCTCTGTTCAATTCGCTCAATATGCCTAACCAGTTTTAGTGGTTCTGCTGGTTTTTTTTATTCCATTTTGGCCGTTATGCCATCCATGACAATGTCTATGCCCCGTCATTGATGTTATTCATACCAGAGTTAGGATCTACTCTTGATGTAGTTTCAATATTTTTTGTTCTCTGTGTATTTACTTTACTTCCGTTTGTTGTGTATCCTTGTTGTCTTATTTGCTTGTTTGTTTTTATAACATTTTCTTTTTGTTCTATTTTTAGGTACAATACCTGCTACACCGGAAAATATAACGGTAACTTTTTTAACACCAACAACGGTGCGGGTCTCCTGGCAGACAATGATCGATTTGAATGCACATCCTGTAGAGAAATACATTGTTACGTATAAGCCCACAGATGACAGGTATGTACAACTGCATTGGTAGTTGACCACGTGCTGCCTCCTTATGTTCCCCCTACCCCGATCTATCCTTCATATTCCATCGCAGCAGAACACTTGCTTCCATCACATGACAACAAAACCGAAACCGATAACACGAAAAAGGGACCCACCAACACTTTAACAATCACCATTCTATCCTTTTACCATTCCTATCCCCTCGCCCCTCAACTAATCCCAATAACAATACAAATCAGCACTATGAAACATTATTACGAAATAGAAATCGTATGGGAATTGTAATGGAAATGGAAAACTTAACAAATTGGAAAAACACGCTCTCTATCTGTGTGTCTCTCTCTCTCGAGCACGTTGTTGAACAAACAAGCTTTGAACGATAAACTCCATAAAAATTGATAAGGGCTAATCATGGTGGTTAACCCCCCACCATCGCAGAGCATCAACCACCACCATTGTCATTGTGGTAGTCATTGTCGTAAACGATGAAGTTTTATAGGAAAACGAAACGTAACGTAAATGAAAAGAGTTAACATCTGTGAAAAGATAGTTTGGATGTGTAATAAAATGCCAAACGAAGCGAAGTGAAGCAATTGATAAGCAGAATTGCTTTGAATATTTTATTACACATAACAATTTGTTGTCGTTTTTACTTTTTATATAAAAAATAAATTATAGTTGTCGATTGTCGTAAAGAAGAAGCTGGAGGACATGTTATCCTGCAGCCATCGTATATTCGAAGAGATATGCTAAAAACTATTATTACGATAAGACGCTCTTGGGCGGGGTTATTGGGTTATTTATAGAAATAAGAGTTGATAGGAACTGAAATTTAAAAATGTAAAATAATATGAACATACGAATTTCGAAAATAATATCTAAAACCTATGTAACCTGTTGCATATACGTTACGACAACTTTCATACGCACCAATAGTCCCAAACTCTTCATTAATAGAATACATTTTTTTTAAATCGTCATAAAGCATACAACTATTTCTGTCGATCGAAGTAGTTATAAATAATTTCCCCTTCATTCCGGAATCACAGTAATGAAAAGTAATACCTTAAATTCAACTCGGAATCTACTATTCAAGAATAGAACATTTTGGTTGAATATGTAGCATTTCTCATACGTATGTAACGTATACATTTTGATAAACATCATTTCTGTAAAATTGGAGTAATCGATATAGTTTTTTATTTTTAGATTATTTCTCCTTCGACATTGCTCATGAAGATACAATGAAAAGCAATGGCAGAGAGATACTACATACCCACAATTTTGCAACGTGTATTATTTATATATATATCGAAAATCTTTCGAAATTGCATCTATGAAATCAATCCCAGCGTAACAAGATTTGACATGTGTAATAACATCAGAATATTTTTTATAGCAGATTTTTGTTGCAATTACAGATATTTCCCAGGTATAAATTATATATATACGTTCTGACACCAATCATACACAATAAAAAAATTAAATTTATACGACAAAATATGGAAAAAATCATGTTATTTTATATTTAGATTTGAATAATTTCGTGGTATAAATTACGATACCCTGAAAAAATAACTATAAAGTAAATAAATTAATTCTCCACCACAAAAATTCCTCTAAAAAAGTCCTGTTTTTATATAACCTTCGGAAGTTTTGGAGATGGCTTTGAACGTTAAGGCGCCAAAAATATTTAAAATACCAAAGCAACCAGGGTTCAAATCCCAACCGGACTTGAGTTGAATTATTTTGAGTTTATGCCTTTTTGGGGCGAAATATCATTCATGTAATGTTCTTATTTATATCTTTTGCGTTGAGCAGAAACATATAATCCTCAGCATCTACTATTGAGGAAAGGAAGATAATATTCTGATGAAATTTCGTAGGAATAACTGGTAACTAAAATGCCAAATAGAATGTTTAGAGGATTTTACTATAGTCTCCAGGTATATTCGGATAAATTAGATCGTCATCCTATGATTTTAGAATTTTAGAATTTAATATTAGATTTACAGCTGTTGAGAATATGCCCACTTTTAAGGAAGTGGGCTAATTTTACTCAATTTTTATAAATGGAGCCTTATGGCTAAGGTGTCCGCCTGGTAAATGCCTGGCAATTTGGTTGGCGCGCACCTCCCTTAGAAAGGATCTATGTTTTGAAAATATGCAAATATCTTATATTGCGAAAAGAATATCTGATTTGATAAAAACCCTATTCATAGTAATATATTTGTCAAACATTTTTGAATCTGAAAATGGAATCAATAAGCCCACTCCCTGTAGTACCTCCACCATAAAGAGTCAACATTTTTTAACGTGTGTAACGTGTGTAAATCTCATATGTTGCTGTTTAAAATTCTGATTTTATTTTAAAATATTTATCCTTGCGAACTGTTTGAACTAAACATGCTTAGCGTAATCTCAAACACACAATACTTTTATCATTTCGTTAGGATAATAGTATTTGATCTGTGGAGAGTATGAACATATGTTAAACAGGTAGTGTGAATATAGTATAGATATACACATATCGTTATTTTTGTAATGCCATTACAAATCTAAACCTAATCTCTATCATTCGTTATCATTGCGAATATTATCCAAAGTTATGGCTGTAATGATATTTTCCCATTTATTTTCAGCACTTGTTTGTTAATCCGAAACACTATGGATAATTTTCCATATAATACCCCCAATTCGTTTAAATAAAAACAAATGTGACATATATGCGTTCTCTCCCTCCCCATTTCCCATGCCAGATTTACTTCCGGAAACATTTAGTATCAATCTTCCTAAACTTGGTCATCCATTCCATTTCTAACCAAAATAAAAAGGAGGAGAAAACGTGGAAATTTTACCACAAATGCCAACACCGTGTCCCATAAATCAAGGCGACATAAATGACACTTCTTTGATTTTAATGATGACATATCGTCGGTCACCCCTAATGACGTCGAATGAGTGGTGGCATTGTCTCAAAGTCTCGAAATGTGTGTGTGTGTGTGTGTGTGGGAAATATAACACACTTTATCCTGAAAACTTTCCATGTGTTGGGAATGTGGATAGTTTGTATTACCTAAGGATAGTTTTGTGCTCCTATATCTCTCTCTAAATTGCTCTCTCTATCTCACTTCCATTCTCTGTTATTCTTACTTTTACATTAAATAAATCAAATAAACGAGTTGACATTTATGGGTGTAACCATAAACACATGTTTGCCAACTCCCCATCCACTACCCCTTTTTGTTTGTGTCTGTGTTCACAAATTACAGTTAAGTGGATCCCTTTTTTCTTTTGTGGTTATTTTTTGGTGGATATGCCATTTTAAAAGGTTCTTTATAGGAAATATCTTTAAACATAGATATTCTTATTTAAAGCATAAATGAGGACAATAATGACAAAAATTGTCCCCCTCCCCCTGCAAAACCCTCTCTTTCACGTGCCTCAAACGTGGTATTTCCAAAGACCATAGGGAAATAAAACCATAAGGTAATAACAACAAAAACACAAAAGCGTACAAGGAAAAAACTTTGAATGACACAAATGGAAAAGGAAAACATTAATCATTTATTCATTTAACTGAATACAACTAAGAACAACAACCACAACAACAACGAAAACAATAAGAAGAATAACTAAAACTTAACTAAGTAAAACCAAACCAAAGTGACTTCTGTGACTAAATGGCTGAACCGAATTGTGTGGCAAGAATAGGCGACATTTATTTCCTTGAGTAATAAAAAGCTGACAAACGTATATTTGCTGTATTGTTCGATTCGATAACCTAAATAGGTAGATATAAGACTAAAAACACACACATCTTGTACACATACAGACAGCCATATAGGTTAATACATTATTATTGTCCTTTCCATGGCGTATAGCAGCCATTCACAATACCCTTATTTGGCGCAGTAAATCGATAAATGCCGTTAGCAAAATAAGCTGCCGCTGTTGCTAATGATATCGACATACTGGTGATGATGAACACCATATCATTGAATATTAAAAGCCAGCCAAAGCAACCAACCTAAATACAATATCCAAAAAACCCCCAATAAATAAATAAATGATACAGCAACTTTATATGTCCTCTGCCAATAAAATAATTCCCCAGCAATAAAAAGCAACGAAAAAATAATTTAGTTCATCGGCAATGGTTTGTATCTTTTTTTTATTTTTGACGTTCGGCACACAAACGTTATAAAGCAATTTTTTGGGTTATATTTTTATTTTATTTGCTAATGTACAGGTCCAACGAAATAACCTCAATATAACATAAAATGTAAATCGGGATTATCCTTTTTCTGTTTAAGCAGACAATTATTGATTTTAGAAAAAATATATAAATTCCAAATATATATTTTAAGCAAGTGAGCAACTAGGTCAATATTTGCTACAGCAATGAAATAATTGGGATTATGCCAGTAATGATTTCAGCCAAAATAAAAATCATATTAGGAAATTTATTTACAAAACATATTTAAGCTGATAATTTATAAAATTATACATATCAACTGACCCTGAATTATTGTTATGAGTAAGGAAAATATAGGCATTGTATTAAAATTGTCTCATATTATAATTTAGTTGGTACAATTGCCTTCAGAGGGCAGATCATGTGTGTAGCGTAGCCCCAATCATTAGGCAAGTGTCTCCACTTTAATAAGGTATTAACATCTAGCTATCGATCATGCTGCATAGCCAAGGATCGTCAGGTGTGTATCTAGACTAATATAAATGTCATCGGTGCCATCAAAACTTCACTATCGATATTACCATTCGATTTTGTGACTGTGATATAAACGATCATCTAGTTCTCCAACGATGGTTTGTGTCAACGCTATAAATACGAGGCGCCGTCTGATGGTAATTATCAAAACTAAAATTTAATAAGACACAATTTTAAGCGAAACTAAACTACTGTTTCTAAAAACTCAATTAATATTGAAAAATTACTTCCAAAATCGAGATTTTCGAAAAGGGAAATTAATTTACTAATTGTT